GGTCTCCAGCTTTCCATTACTAAAGGAGTGTTGATGTTATGTGACATCAAGCCTGCTTCTGATTTATGTAACCCACATAAAACAATCTGTGTAGACTGGCTAAGTATGAATTCTTTACAGTACCTATATATTATTTACAACTCCATATCAGTTTAAATAGTCAAACATTACAGAGTCCATTCGGTAAAGGTAAAGGCTCCTCTTGACATTTTTAGTCCAGTTGTGTCCGACTCTAGGGGGCAGTGCTCATCCTGTTTTCAAGCCATAGAGCCAACGTTTGTCCGTAGACAGTTTCCGTGGTCACGTGCTCAGCACGACTAGACACGGAACACTGTTAGCTTCCCACCGTGGTGGTACCTATTTATCTACTTGCATTTACATGCTTTCGAACTGCTAGGTTGACAGGAGCTGGGACAAGCAACAGGAGCTCACTCTGTCACGTGGATTTGATCTTATGACTGCTGGTCATCTGACCTTGCAGCACAGAGGCTTCTGTGGTTTAACCCGCAGCACCACCACATCCCCATATAACTAAAAACATACAAACAAATACTGTATGTTGGAGTTTTTACAACCTTGAATGTTACCTAGAGAAAAGATGACCAGGACGAACCTTTCTAGACTCGGATGACTGTCAGTCCATCTAGCACTAGCCAATTGTTTTCTTCTGCCTCTGAATACAAAGAGAGTCCCCCTTCTCTTCCTGGAGTTTTCTCCCCTCTCTGTTGTCTGTTGGCAGTCAGTGAGTCTGTTGCTGAAAGCAGTCAGTCATGTTTGTCAGTTTGTTGTCTGATCTGTTAAACTGTTAAGTAATGAAACCTTTTATTCTTACTCTTACTAATGTCTCAGAGTCAGTTATTAGACTGTAAGTACCAGTTGAGGAAAAAAGGGGTGGACAAGTCTGGGAACATAGAAGCGATTCTGCTCTGTGGGTCCCTGCACTTCTGCTGTGTAGAGAAATGTAACAAAAAATTCAAAAACCTGCAATAAAAATCACACAGAAATACAAATTACTGTATTTTCCCATATTTTTTCCTAAAATCATTACCCTAAAAATTGAGGGTGTCTTTTACACAGAAGTAAGCTGAGATAGCTGAGGAGAGAACAAAATGGCACACACCTTGCCTCTGTAAATAGATTTCCTTCAGCCATGAGGCTTAGCTTCCTACAGTCAGGAGACTTAGCTTCTTTCAATCAGAAGCCTTATGGAAATAACATCAGCTGACTCTGAACAAACCAATTGGAACACACCTCCTTGGAGGTGGAGCCTGTAGGCTCAAGGTTCAACAGAGACAGAATGTCCGACATTCTGAACTCAAGCTAAATCCTCAAAGCTAGGTTTTCTTAATTTTGGAGTTAAAAAATTGGGGGGGGGTTGTCTTATAAATGAGGGCATGTTATAAATGAAAAATATGGTAGTCAACGGCAGGCACCAATGTATACATTTGGTAAAGTGCAGAGATGAATGTATATGTAATATATATTAAAATGTATTTGTAAGGAAAAATGTGCAAAGACAGGTCAATGCAGGAAGGAAAAAGATAATCTCAGAACCACATGAAAAATGCAGGTGAGATCAAGAGGCACACAACTAAGTAAAACAGAGACATTTTCACCCTCCCCTTCCCTGTCTATTGAGGCTTTCCATCTTGTCTTCATATCTGGCAACAAAATGTCTTGTGCCACCCTTAGTGAAAAACATTGTTGCATTATGGATAGAGTAATGAGCTAGGATTCAGGAGGCCTGGTTCAAACTTCAGATCAGCCATAGAAACTTGTGGGGTTGGCTGGAGGTGGCCTGGTAAACTATTACTTGAAAACCCACATACCTCAGAAACCCTATTAGAGTTGCCATAAATCAAAAGCACAAATAAACAACCCATGCGGACTGGCTAAATATAAATTATTAACAGTATCTATATATTCTTTACAACACTCTAGAAGACTCAAATCAGGATTTTAAGTCCCACACTTCTCCCAGGAAGTCTGCGAGGCTGTGGACAATCTTTTACCAGTAAGATTTACAGCCTCAGCTTTGAGAAAGAAAGTGAAACTGGGTTTTCATGCAAGCAGTCAAGTTACCTGGGACCTCTTAAAGTATCAAGAAAGGTATTGAAGTTGTTTCCCAAGGAAATTCTGTCATAAAGAAACATATAGGACTTAAAATCCTGAACTGAGTCTTCTAGAGCATGAGCTACACATACTTGAACAAGACCTTTTGGCTTCCTGATGAATTTAATTGTTTGGACCTGAATGGACTCTGTAAGGAATGTGGTGGCACTGAGGGCTAAATCGCAGAAACCTGTGCTGCAGGGTCAGAAGACCAGCAGTCATAAGATCGAATCCACACGACGGAGTGAGCTCCTCGCCAGCCTAGCAGTTTGAAAGCATGTAAATGCGAGTAGATTGAATAGGTACCATCTTGGTGGGAAGGTAAAACGGCGTTTCCTAGTCACACTGGCCACGTGACAACGGAAACTGTCAGACACGACTGGACTAAATGTCAAGGGGAACCTTTACCTTACCTTTCAATTATATGCATTTTAGCCTGTCACGTTTTAAAACATGTGACTTTCCACATTTGTTTTCTCTGAAGCATCGTAAATACTGCAAATGTATGAATTCTCAAGAAAAGGACCATTTTTACTTACAATATGTGTTAGCAGATGCAAAAACGCTACTTTCACTGACCCTATCAATCCAGTTAAATGTTTTTCCATCTTGTGGGGATGGCATGACATCCTTGAAATGGTAGTTTTCCTTTTTAGCCCTATAACCCTGATCTTTTTCTCCCTGACTGGTAATGTAATGGCACAGTGACTTTCTCCCACTCTATGAGACATTCCTTGCACACTTCATGGGAACAGGTGAAACAATGAAATCTCCATAGACTATTTAATGAACAGGCAGGAGGAGGCAACCACATCAGTGTGAACAGTTGGAGGGCATACTGTAGTTGTGTTTGGTACATGGCATGTCCTGTGTCTCCTAAGCTATCTTAGAATATGGTGCTCTCAGATATGGTGCAGGGTGCTGTTCCACTACCAGTGTTGAAGTATGCTCTTAGTCACGTTGTCTTCAGGTGTGTAGAATGGGTTGGGGTGCCTCCTTACCTTTGTCGCAAATGGGGAAATATTTCATCCCATCCCCATCAGTGAAGACATAGAGACCTGCCTCCCTATTCATACAACCCAGGGTGTTTGGCTTTTCATTGACAGAAATAGCTGATCAGATGCAATGGAAGCTGGTTTTCACTTCACCACCCTGAAGGTCTGGCAATAAGTGAATTTTCCAAGTACACATTTGCTAGCTATTGATTGACTGATATAACTTTTTTAGGAATATTACAATAGATGAAGAGCCTCGTGGCACAGTGGTTAAACTGCTGTACTGCAGCCAAAGCTGTGCTCACAACCTGGGGTTCAATCCCAGGTAGCCAGCTCAAGGTTGCCTCAGCCTTCTATCCTTCCGAGGTTGGTAGAATGGGTACCCATCTTGTGTGTTTGTGTGTGTGGGCAATGTGTAGCCTGCATAATTAACTTGTAAACCACCCAGAGAGTGCTTGAAGCAATATGGGGTGGTATATAAGCAGCATGCTTTGCTTTTTTTTAAAGATAACATGAATAACAGCGCTTGAAGCACTATGAGGCGGTATATAAGCCGCATGCTTTGCTTTTTTTAAAGATAACATGAATAACAGAATTTCCTTATTTCATTTGGGGGGGAGAGGGAGAAAAAAGAAGTTGAAGTGATCACTTATTTTGTCCTTGTGCTAATAATGAAATCCTGCATATCGTCAGGCCGGTGCTGATTTGATAATGAATCTTGTTCTTCAGATGAGGGAAAAAAACGAGCTCTCTCTAGTGGTCTTTATTATTCTGACTCATTCTAGAAGCAAACACAGGTAGTTGAGTGCCCTGTAGCCCAGCTGGTACCAGTGATAAACAAGGGAATCTCTGTGGCTTGTAGAATAACAGTGTTCAGACTAAATGCCTGGTGAGCAGTTATTTGAAATAGCTGAATAAGGACTGCCAGGTTCAGTAGCCAGAGAGCACAAAGTGACAGCTAGGGCCAAGTTTTGGAACCCGGTACTGGAGGGGAATGGGATTATTGCCCTAAAAGCAAAGGCCAGTTGGAATTCAGAGTCTGTCTTTTGGATGGGCGGGTACACTACAGTGTTTTGTTGCAGTACCATTTTGTTCCGTTATTGCTTCTGTGTTATTGTTGAAAAATGACTTTCTGTGACCTGAAAGTTTGCTTTTATTTTTTTTCAAAATATATTGGACAATAAAAATGTTGTCTCATCCATTCTATTTTGTGCTATGCGTGTGAGCCTAGCTACCATTACTATTCTGTTTTCCTACAAAATGATGTCTAGCAACTGCTAAAATGCATCAGCAAGAAAACATCAAACTCTTCATACAACAAGGGCTACATTAGGCTTAATTAGCGTTTTGTAGCTCCATCTTTCATGCATCATGTCACTGAGTTTATGACGGCCAACAAAAAATGGAGTCTTACAATTGTTTCTCACACTAATAATAACTTAGGTTTTGTGCTGTCCTTTTAAAAATTCAAATAATATAGCATGCATTATTCTATGATTCTATGGTTATTGATAATCCTTATGAAACCTTTGTCATGAAGGGTCCCTGTGATCTCCATGTTGCAGATGGGCATTAAGGACGTGCGCGCAACAAAGCTGACAGATGGCTGTGTGTGTTTTTTTGGCAAACTTTTCATTGACTTGATGGGCTCCCTCTGCTGGCTCTCACTTTCTGTCCTCTCTGGTGGCACAAACCTCTTAAGTTACGAGTATCCTAAGCAGGATATTTCCCATTGTTTGTCAGTTGCTCCCATATGGACTGAAAAATGGCTTTTCTAGCTTCTTCAGAATCGTGTGTCAGCTGTGTCTGATCCTTTGGACAGCTAGGAGCTTGTGAGAATGCATCCTGAAGTAAGTAACTTCCATGACTGACCTAAAATGTTTGTATTTCTAGATGTCTGCCCTGTACCATCTTCTGCAATTCCTAATGCCACATGTGGTACTAATTTAAGATCCAAACAATCCAACTACTTCTATGTCTTCATGTTGGGGCAACTGCTCTTGGGAGCAGGTGGAACTCCCCTTTATACTCTGGGAACAGCTTTCATTGATGACAGTGTCCCAAAACACAAAGCTTCAGTCTATATAGGTAAGTTTTCTGAACCTTTGCTTCTAGACATTTCCATTTGTCTTACTTATCTATCATCTGGGGAGTGGGAGGGTGCTCATGTTTCATTTTAAAAATATATTTGATTTATGACTCCCAGGGCATGGATGGACAAAGGGGAGCCCCCCACCATCGTGTGGCCCCGGGGCCACGTGAGGCGCCAAGTCTGCATAGACCTTCCCATTGCTCCCACAGGGACAAAAAATAAATCAAAAATTGGGGGTGGATCTGCTTTTCTGCTTCTGTGAACATCCATGTAGAGTGTTTTGTTTGTTTGTTTGTTTGCACTGAGGGGGACTCAACCTTTCTCCTGAGACCAGAAAAATCTCTCTCTTTTTTTTAAAAAAAATCAGAAATGAAAGTAGTTATCTGGTCACTTTTTGGTTTTGTCATTTTCATCCACTGGCCATTTCCAGGCTTGCTGTGGTGCTTGGGAGTATTATGGGTGACAATTTGACCCCCATCATCACCAAAGTTGCCCCATCATTTCCTAACATGAACTGAAATTGAGATGTTTCCTTTACCACTTTGTTTCTTGCTGAACAGAGTTAATGTTATTGATTGTCATTGATTGCTTCACCCTCCTAGAACAATTCAGTTTCAGCAAAAATAAGAGTCTAGTGATATCTTATTTAGCATAAGCTTTTGTGTTCTGTAGCCCATAACTTCAGGGACACTCAGGTTATATTCCATACACCTGAAGAAGAGGACTACAGCCCTTAAATGCATATGTCCAATGAAACTCACTTTCTAAATTGCTAAAAGACTGTTATTTTTGATGCAACACACTACTGCCACATGGCTTGTGATAACGCCCCCTGAAAATTCTGCTACATTTCAGTTGCTTTTTTTCATCTCTCTGTGCCTAATTCCATAGTTGGGGGTTAGTCCCTGAGTCAACAAGAAGAGACTTGCCAGACCATAAGGTAAATGAAATGCAGGAAGTCTGAAAGTATACTTCAAAGCAGTCCAAATCAAGGCAACCCAATAGTCATTAAAAAAAAACAAAAACCAACAACCCACAGGAAGGGTCTAAAAGCATAGTTAGCTTCAACAGTCTGGATCCAATGCAATCAGGAAAGAGAACAGACTTTGTCTCCCATGAAAACAACACAATCCCAAACTGAAGCTTATGTAGCTGAGCTGCCTGATCCTCAGTTACAGGCATTTTGCTAGCTGGTAGGAGAGCACAGCTGCAGGATTTGACCTGTTGGTCTCCTTGGGATGAAGAGCTTTCCTCCAATGAGACCCCTCTACTCCCAATGAAGACTTTCCATGTAGTGAAGCACTTCATCTCATAGCCTTCTAAGCATGTCTTCACCTGTGACATTCAAATGGGGTGGGAGGAGGATCCAGCATCATCTCACTCAGCCTCAGAGGAATGTGATGGAGGAAGATATGCAGGGAACCCCCTCTTCTGCTTAAAACCATATCCCTCTGCCATGGAGCAGATTGTCATGAACTATACATGTTTCAGCTTCTCTGACAAGGAGCAGATATCAGTATAGATCAGTTTTAATATTTGAAAGAAAGAGAGAGATGCCCAAACTGGTGGGTGGATGGTAAACGCATCCAAGTTGCTTTAGCAGGGATTTATTTTGCTTAATATAAAGTAGCCACATCTAACCTTTTAGCCTTATAGGTCTACACTTCCCTATTGAGTTGAAGTTTTGGGTCTCTCCAGACAATTTTTCCTAGCAATTATTTCTACATGATGAAGATTCATATTGGCTTATGTGTCATATGGAGGGCCACGGGTTCACCATGTCAAGATCTCTGTGCTTTGAATGTGCTTCCATGGAATCAACCAAACAAGGCTGATACATGTTTTGGTATTTGAATGACCTGAATGCCTGCGGATCTGAACTATAAACTATTATCCTTCACTGCAGGAATTGGTTACGCCATGTCATTGATGGGCCCTGCCATTGGCTACGTACTAGGGGGACAGCTGCTTAATGTCTATGTTGATTTCAATCGTCAAGTAAGGCAAGGAAGTTTGTTTTCTTTTCACTTTTTCATTGTATTAACTAGAACTTTCTTTTTCTTAACAATACTATTGTTTATTTTGTTCACTTTTGCTTCTTAGCGGTGGATATATTAAAGAATAAAATGGTGTAGATTTGTGGTTTGCTCCTAGGATGGGTACAGACTACCAGTTCGGAAGTTTGTCCTAGTTTGTTTACCACCACAAGAGGTGTTTGGTGGTTTGGTGCCCCACCCCCTCTAATGGATGCCCAGTCATAAGCAGTGCCTGGAGGAGGCAGGGCAGGGCTAGGGATGCTGATTTTGAGTAGGCACCCACTGGAGGGAGTAGAGTGCTGAACTGCTAAACATCTCTTATGGTGATAAATGAACCACGATGAACCACTGATCTGGTGGTTCATGGCCATCTCTATTCAGTATTATTGCTCTTGAACTTGACATGAGATCTGGGTAAAACATGCTCAGATTTTTGTTTTGATCAGTACAGATAGGAAAATAATATTTTGCTGAATGTATTTCTATTCTAATTGCCTTCATAAATTCAAAATACAATAATTACCACTGTTATCAGTATGGGAAAAGGATGGTAAAAATGTAAGAAATAAGCCAAAGATGTATATGTTATGAAGCAAAGTAACTTTTGTGTAAAATATTGTTAAATGACCAGACTAATCATGTCTGTATTAAATCTATGTTTGCTAAATCAATATCTTTCTAGCATAGACATCACTCCCAAAGATCCACGTTGGGTTGGAGCTTGGTGGATAGCGTTTGTTATATGCAGCTTCACTACTTGCCTTTTGGTGGCACCATTTTCATATTTTCCAAAGCAGTTGCCAGGTAATTTATTTTATTGTATTTATTCATTCAATTTATACCCCGCTCCCCTGGACAGCGTCTACTCGGGGCGGCTTACAAAATCATAAAATATCATTAAATGACAATAAGACATCACAATCGAAATAAACAACATTCATAATCATAAAAGCATTTAAACAATAATATAGTATGGTCAAGATGGGGAATGAAAGAACAGAAAGACAGAATTCAAGAATTGACTAAAGAATTGTTCTAAAGTAGGGGAGTTGTGCAAGCTTGATTATGGTCTTAGCTATAAGTTAGAACCTCTAAAGATCTAGTGTGAAAAGGGATTGAGATAGACAAATCGCAGAGTGCTAGCAGTCTCAAGGAATTGCTATGCTTCCTTGTATCTCCAGATGGGGAGAAAAATCTCACAGTGCTGGGGGTTGAAGGAGGCGAATATGTGATTTTTGCACTCATCTATGTGGTAGCTTTTACACCCTGGCCACCCACTGCCATTCATGCTTAGTATGCTGCCTTTTGTACATGTGCTGTGCTTGTATCATGTCACCACATCAAAGAGCCAGGAACAAGGGGAGGAGATTGTGGGGGGGGGGACCATAGCATCCATGCAGTTGCAGCCACTGTGGCATTTTGGGCAAGCCAGGAAATGAAGTGCCAGCACTGTGACTTGTGTTGTACAATCCATGCCATCTGGAAGAAATTTCCTCTGGGCTAGTTGTGAAGTACTCACAAGTCCCAGTAGCACTGCTTGGCTCGGAAGAATTCACCATGTGCCATATGGATTGTAGGATGCTGATATAGGATAAGAATCTTATCAATAATGGTAGTGACCTCTGTAGTTCCTATTCACATTTGGCTGTCTGCCTACCTGCCAAACAGACACACCCCGTCCAGATTTGGATTGCCATATAGCATGGTGATTCTGGTTGTATCTGAATTTGGAGCCTATTTGGCTGGATCCCCTCAGGCCCTTATCTACAATTAATGGCTAAGTAGACTGTTTTGGCTGGAATAAAGAGGCCAGGTAAGGCAGTGGCTAGTTCAAGATGCAGTGACTGGGTGACAAAAGTAGCATTATCACTGTATCCTGTGCTCTTCCACCAGAGGCAATTGCCTGATTCTGACCAATGACTGAGCCAGTCCTGAGCAGAATCATGCTGCACTTGTCTCATGAAAGCTTTTTTTTATTCTTCCAGGGACACACAGAATAAGAGCTGAAAAGATTTCTGAAGCACATCATAGTGGAGAAGGCCCAGTGCATGGATATTCTGGGAGGAGTATGAAAGATTTTATACTGACTCTCTGGGTAATACAAGCAATGAATCCAAAGAAGTGTTTGTAGAGTGAAACCAAAGCAATGTTTGTAGCAGGCTTAAATCGGCTTAATATCAAGTTCGGTAAAGATCATTACTTTATATACCACTGCATTTTAGGGATGATTGCCAGTTTGAATCAGAATGATGAGGGACTGGCAACCAAGCCTTATGGGAGTTCATTGAAAGAGCTGGTTATTTTTTAGCCTGGAGGAGGGAAACAATATGGAAGTTTGTATTCGCGAAGTTATTTGAAAGATTGTCCTTCAGAAGAAGGAACAGACTTGTTTCTGTTACTTTGGGAAGGAAGACAAGAATATTGTTGGTTAAAGATTGGCTAAATCTTAGAACAGATTTCTAATGGCAACAGGACCATTCTATCTAGCAGCGCCTGGAATTGCCTGGCCACCATCAGCTCCAAGCAATCCAGAGGACTGCTTCCATCACCAGAAGTTCTCTCCTCCTCTTCCTCCTCGGCTGCCATCTTGAGATACAGCGACCAATCTTCCCTTCCAGAAGCTGGGCCTGCTGACTCTGCACATGCACCCTCCTATCAGCTGATAGGTGGGGGCATGCACAAAGATGACAGGCCCAGCTCCCAGAAGAGAAGCCAGGCCACTATCTATCCAGATGGTGGCAGAGGCAGAGAATGAAAAAGAGGAGGCAACAGGACCAGGTAGGGAGGGAACAGGGGCAGTGGAGGTTGGGGGGGGAGGCGGGAAAAACCAGGAAGTTCATTAAATCATAAAAAATGTCATGGTTCGGGTTGGTTCAGGTTGATCAGTTTTGACAAACCCATACCAACCCAAACCAGCAATTTTAACAAGATCCCAGTTTTTTAAAAAATTGTGTCCATCTCTACTTGCCACTTCCTTAGAATCAAATTAGATTTAACATTAATTCCGAGAATACAATTAACTTGCATAGTTTTCAAAATGGAACTTGCATGAGTTCCTGAACCCAGCAGGTTGGGTGAATCACAGATCTTGACCTTAAATGAAGCAGTTTGGAGAGATTCAGGGTTCTTCCAAGGGGAGGCATATATTCTTCAAGGTTTTCTAAGCTTTTCCTAACACATTCAAAGTATAAGAACTAAGTTTCTAATCATAAGCACAGCAGTGGATTTTTTTCAAAAAATAAATACACTAGGTTTTCGAACTTTTTTCCTGCTTCTAAAGCATCATCCATAGTACTTTGTGGAAGGATTTTAGGAACCATCTTTTCAGCAGTCTTGGATTTACCGATTGAATAGCGGAAAAAATATATTTGTGGTAAAAGTAAATCATTCTGAAAACAGAACAGTTATTTTACATGGTAGCTTATGAGGACTTACATGGCAGGCATTGTGTTTAGAGTATAAAATATGTTTAGTGCAAAGACATAATGGAAGTGTGTGAGAAGAACTGTAATAATTCCACTCTCTTCTCTCTATCAGCTACTGCTCAGGAATCCTGTGTTGATGTGTCTTGTAGCAGCGGCTGCATTAGAAGCTTTGGTTGCCACTGGTTTCGCAACCTTCTTGCCCAAATTTATAGAAAACCAGTTTGGATATACATCTAGTTATTCAGCTACCTTAGGGGGTAATGTATCTCTTTTATTTATTTTACAGAAAATGCTTTTTATTTGTTAGATGCTTGTATTTCATAACAGAACAGGGTAAAACCTGTTTGGAAAGAGGATGACCTGTTTGGAAAGAGATGACCAAGCATGCCTGAGTTCTCCATGTGGTTGAGTTTTCTGTCTGACTGGGGTCCTAATAATTTGGAGCTCCTACATATGTGTCACTGCTTATGTAGAGCTGTTCCTTTCCAGACACCAATACTCAACATAGATATGGGGCCAGAAGGGAGAGGAGGTGTGGTAAGGCAATATTGGGGCTGGACTACTGTCAAGACCCTACTTCTTCTCTTTAAAGCCTTGCACGCAATAACATGCAAAAAGAGAGAGTCTCTTCATAAAATGGTTGTTGTGGGTTTTTTGGGCTCTTTGGCCGTGTTCTGAAGTTTGTTCTTCTTAATGTTTCGCCAGTCTCTGTGGCCGGCATCTTCAGAGGACACCTCTTTTCATAAAGCTTGTTACAGTTCAATGTGGTTCTTTTTCCTGCTTTCATTTTGAATATCTTTTCATACTAGTCATACTCTTGTGGTGTTCACTGTACTTACACTGATCATGCAACAAGGGGTGTGCTAACCCTACCACCAACTCTACCTCATCATCATTTTCCTTATGAGAGGTTTCTTTTTTCAAATTGAGTCTGTTCACATGAGCAAGAATTCTTATTTTCCATCATTTTTGCTCAGATGGAGAGTTTCTATTTGAACAGAAATATTTCCTCCTCAGATTTGTCACTATCCACACAAGAAAAATGATGATGATGGGAGGTAGGTGTAGGCATTCCCTTGCTCTGGTTAAACTGAGGTGAGTAATGTCTGAACTGCTTGCTTGTTTACCTTATTAATTTGATAACTATTGTTGTCTCATTCTCCACAGGACTTGTACTAGTCCCAGGAGCAGCAATAGGCCAGATAATAAGTGGCATCCTGATTTCCAAGCTTAAAATGCATTGCAAAAATATAATCAAGTTTATTCTCCTGACATGTACAGTGGCACTCTTATTAAACCTGGTGTTTGTGTTTGCCAAATGTGGGAATGAACCATTTGCTGGTGTTTCTGAAACATATAACGGGTAAGTATGTTTTAAAGAACTGGTTGCTCTGTCCAGAATACTGTAATAACACTAGTGTTAGTGTTACAGAATAATAGACACCATTTGAATTTTGAGATGGCAGGCATAAAAAGGTTGTGACAGAGGGATAAAGATACAAGACAACAAAGAAGAGAGAAGTGAGAGGCAAGTTGGAATCAGTAGACAAGGAGTAGTTGCATATAGGGCATACCCACACTAGCATATAGATATGATATATGGATCGCTGAGGGCACAGTTTGGATTTTTTTTAAAAAAACTTTGCAAGTGTTTCTACTTAGAACACCTTTTTCTTTTCTTTTAAGAGCTAACACACACCTTTCTGGCCCAGCGGTAGGGCATGCATTCTTTTTGGCATGCTCATTGTTTAGCCTGAAGATATCAGCCTCTCCATTCATGGCTGCAGATTCTAAAGGAGGAGAGAGAAAGTGGAAGGAGAATAAGGGGAGGGAAGCAGGGAGGGAGGAAGGGAGAAAACAGAATGGCACTGACAGAGGGAGAGAGGAGCGATGTAAAAAAAATTAATTTCACTTTCCCTGACTCTCCTCAGATGATCTGGGAAAGCATTTGATTGACAGCTGATCATACTGGAAGGGGTCTCTTGGTGTTCAGATGGGAGGAACATTCAAAATGGCACATCACTCCTCCCCACATCTTCAACAGACCCTTTGTAGCCTGATCCACCCCACACCCAAAATGGCCAGTTTGGACAGGCCCATACTTCATCTAGGGGTGAAAATGGACTGGGTCAAATGTCTCTGGAAATTGATATATGGCTTTTAGGAAAGGATTTAAAAGGGAGAACAGTAACACCATATCTATGATGCATGAAGAGATTTCAAATAGAAATGTCAGAGACCACATACAACTGAAGGTAGTGCTTCCAGTCACATTTTTGCACAGTTTGAGTTTGATTATCGATTTCGGTAATTGATTATTGTGAGTTGGCCATTACATTGATGAACTACTTTCTGACACCCCCTGATTTGTTCTTAGATATATGCGTGGTTAAAATCGGACAATTTACAAGTGCCCACAGTTTTTTGATTGGAAAGTATAAAACCTACAGGTTTTTGATTGGCAAACATAAATAATATATGGTGTAAAATGAATTTGAATGAATGGTTTGGTGTAGGAGATGAAAATGTTAGGACAGCTACTGTCAAGATCTTAAGGCCAGATAAGCAAAAGTCACCATTATTGAAAAAGAAGGCCATTTAGAAAAGAGGCAGGATGAAGATCACATTTTGTGTTCTCATTTTGATGAACATGTAAATACACTGCAGAAATATTTTCTAGTTCTCAGCAAGTAAGATTATGTGCCTAACAAATAACTTTAAGTAATTTAGTTCTAACCTTTCTGTTTCAGAACAAGCACATTATCAAACTTAAATGCACCCTGCAATGCCCATTGTAGATGCCTACGTTCAGAGTTTTTGCCAGTCTGTGGTGCAGATCAAATCCAGTATTTTTCTCCTTGTTATGCAGGATGCACCACTGCTATTGTTCAAAAAGACACAAAGGTATTGCCTTGTTTTGGTCATTAATAGAGAATGCAGAATTTACTTTAGATATAATTATTGCATGTAAAAAAATTTAAGGAATAACATGTATATTGATCATTGTTGTGGGTTTTCTGGGTTGTTTGGCCGTGTTCTTAAGGTTTTTTCTTCTTCCTGACATTTTCCTGGCCGTGAAAGCCTTCGAGAATACAACATGTACAGTGGTGCCTCGTTTAATGATAATAATCCGTTCCAGGACAATTGCCGTTAAGTGAAAATATCGTAAAGCGAAAATAAAAACCCCATTGAAACGCATTGAAACCCATTCAATGTGTTCCAATGGGGTAAAAATTCACCGTCCAGTGAAGATCCTCCATACGGCAGCCATTTTCGCTGTCTGTATAGCGAGGAATCCATCCCTAAACACAGCGGGGAGCCATTTTAATCACCCGGTGTCCATTTTGAAATAGCTGATCAGCTGTTCAAAAAACGTCATTTTGCGAAGAATTGGTTCCCAAAGCAGGGAACCGATCATCGCAAAGCGAAATTCCCCCATTCAGACCATTGTTTTGCGATCGCAATTGCAATCGCAAAATATCGTCATAAAGCGGATTCGTCGTAATGCGGGGCAATCGTAAAGCGAGGCACCACTGTATATTAATTCAGTAATAAACTTTGTTACTTGGGAGGGGGAACTCATTAGTGTTTTGAATGATAACACTTATAAGTGAAATACAATGTAACACTCTGTTGTTACATTTCTTAATAATAATGTAATATACTAAATATACTGAAAATATAGTTTCAGGTAATTGTTCTTATAAAATATCTAAACTAAAGGTTGATTGATATATCACTGACTGCAGCTAATACCATTTAGTACAGTGTTTCACTGTGTAAAATGTTTACATATGAATATCTGGGATATTTATTTGGCTTAGAGTTGCCAGATGTCAGCCTATATTTGAATTTAGTCTAAGTTCATCTGTCTGCAAATACAGATATGTATCAAATACATAGTTTTCATTATGATGGGGATCGACTCCTTTACTCTCACTTTGCAACTTCAAGGTGTGCAGAAGTGCGAAGCAAAGGTTTTATTCCCCCCCACCCCCACCAACCTAAAAGATCTCCATGGTGAAAAACTCTTCTCCAAATAGTCCAGTAAGCACTGAGCATGGTCAATGACCATGGGACTTTGTCAGTTTGACAAGAAAAATGGAAAGAGAATGGAATAAGCTAATATAGGGCAGAGCTGTCTGGAACCCTGACTAGGACCATTCTGCTAAGCATTTATGACACACTGCAAAATTCATCCTATTGTTATCATATTCTTAATGTGCTCTGTTGAAATATGTGCATAGTTTGGTGAACGAAATGCAGATATTATGAGTTGATAGAAAACAAAGATTCATATCCAAACCCTCACTCTGATTTAGAAACGACATTCCGTGTATAGAAAGAATTCTATGAATATAGACAATGATGTGTTCCAAATGCTTATCAAAGAGTCTCTTTATATGTTTGAATACATAGAAGTGTTGAATTTGGCTGTGATGGTTATTCAGCATCGCTAATGTGTTAAAAAGTTTTTTTTTAAAAAAAATATTAACAGCCACAAATATTACTTAATAAGTTTGAGTAATATTCTTCTATCCACTGTTTTTAGGTGTACAGCAACTGTTCCTGTGTTACAGAATCCACTGTTGTAATTGAGAATACCATCAAGGGGGCCATTTCCGGGAAGTGTCAATCAAAGTGTACAGTCCTGCCTTGGTTCCTCAGCTTCTTCTTTTTAGCTGTTGTTTTTACTTTTATGGCAGTTACCCCAACAACTGTGGCCATTCTCAGGTAGTTGCCATGCTGCTTTACTTTGGTCTGAATGTCCTTTATTGAAGTACGGTGTTTTCCTTGCTGGGGTGATCCTTTAAGAGGGAGCAATTGCCATAGACCACAAGGAAATGAGTGTAAAGGAGAAGACCATCTATAAGACTACTTGTAATTAAGAGTGAAATCGTCCTGACACTTGCGATTGTTGAGTAATATAAGTAACATATTTAAAGGGAACCATCACTATAAGGAGCAGGTATAGGAACTGATACATGTGAGGAACACTAAAAACATGTTTACATTGAAAAATCATATGATCTGGGCTTTCAAAGCAGCTGCTTTAATCTGTGGTTGGAGGAAGGAGCTGATGACAATGGCTGCAATAACTACAAATCAAAAAGGATGTTCTATATAAACCAAAGCATTTTTAATAACTCCCCAAATCCCCAACCATCATTACTCATTTTAGATTCCAGCATTTTGTTTTTGCTTAGAAATCCCAGAATTCTCCAGTAAATATGTTCATTCGTCAAAAACCTAACTTTTTCCAACATCACTATTAACCTGAATATTGGGCAGCAGTTAGAAAGGTCTGGCTCTTAGCAATGTGCTCACTGAGAGGTCCTCCACTGTTGGGGAACAGGACCTCCAATCATGGACAGATTCTCCTTGAACATCCTATAATATAGGGTCACCACAGTGTCCAGGAAGGTCGTTTTTTACCTGGATTCTAACCCTGCCATGTGATGTCTGTTTATACCACTAGTCGGCTGGAATTTTTAGTGTTCATTTTTTCAAAAGGTCAGTTCTCTAGATCAGTGGTCCCCAACCTTTTTAACTCCACGGACTGGTTGGGAAAGGTGGGGCACCCCCCTGCGCTCTCGCACATGCATGAAGTGGGTGCGCTCTCGCACAGGCACATGCATACATGCGCATGTGTGAAGGAGCACTCATTTGGGCACGTGCACACTCACATGCATGCACAATGGGCAGGGGTGCTTGGGGGCACTCGCACACACTCATAAATAGGTGGGGGCACACACACACACGCATGCACAAAGGGGCAGGAGTGCAGGGGGGCAGGAGATCAGTCTCCGTGGCCCGGTCTGGCCCAGACCATGGACCGGCAATGGGCCGTGGACCGGGGGTTGGGGACCCCTGCAAGTCTAAATCATGTAGAACCTGAGAAACAAGACAAAATGTGACCACTATTCTGCTCCTTTGTTTTGTGAGAACTCAATCTGCTCCTGCCTTCTAGGTTCAACAGTGTCTCCAGAATTTTTTCTGGAGTTGGCCTGCCACTAACTAAGGTCTGCCACTAACTAAGACTGATTGGGAAGTTTGCTGATCTTTTGCTTAGCTAAGAATATCAAGGTTCGTGCTGAGAGATTGGATAACTTTAGCATCTAATCCTGGCCTTTGCTTGTATTTTTTAAATACTTATTTATTAATTATAATTCTATATTTCAGTATTTTTCACTATCGAGCACTCTGATTGCTGATACTGAACAATGAAATAAACTTTGTTTTACAGGTGTGTACCAGAAAGGCACCGCTCATTTGCTCTAGGTGTTCACATGCTGTTTCTACGAATTTTAGGTATGTTTAAAAAGAAACCAAGGCTTAACAAGGAATAATGGTCACAGTCCTAAAACTCACGGCTGCCCCCAGATCTCATAGTTGTCTGTGAGAAAGAAAGAAACTATACATGCCTCCGTATGTGCACCAGGCTGGCTTTGCCTGTGAGACACAGTGAGGTGGCCAAAACATGACTCTGAAGGATTAAAATATCCATTTGTAACACATAATGGCTAAAGGATGGGTATACGACTTCATTGGTTAGTGTGTGTATTCTGAGGGTATAATCCAGAGGTGTGCAGGTTCAAACCACTTGTGGAAAATCACAGTATGCATGATGACAGGAAGATTAGAATCATAGGCTCGCTCTTCTTATAGAAATTCGTTTTCTTTTCCCCCCCACACACATCTATGAGTCCATCCATGTAACATTTTGATCAATTTTGGGATCAGTTCTAGTTTTAAGCATAATTCTATTACCGACTTGTCTGCAGGTTTTGCATATGCTTTCTTGGCTGGGTAGATCACTGTATTAGACATTTGTTTTGTCTATTATCTCTGGATGCTTAATCTCTAACGTTACAGCCCGATTTCAATGTCCAAGTTTGCATTTCAATTACTGTTTTGTTGCTCCATCTTGTATAGGTACTATACCTGGACCCATCCTGTTTGGTGTTGCAATAGACAGTACATGCACTTTGTGGTCTGTGGACAAATGTGGAATTAGAGGAGCATGTTGGACCTATAATAACAGCAAAATGGCCATTATGTTAATGGCTATAAGTAAGTCTTCCTCAGGTTTCCTGGACACTATTAGTCTGCCATGAATAATTTCACTGGAAACCCTTTGGGGGAGGTGAGATGAGAGGGGAGGTGTAACTGCAGCCATTTTTTAAATTTTAAATTTCTTGGTTATATCCTTGTTTCACTCCAGTTAGCACACAGCATACATGCCTCTCTCTATTATTCCAACAACATTCCTGTGAGGTACGTTAGGTTGAGAGTGAGTTTCACATTCACCAGCTGGTAGAGACCTTCCTACCAAGTGGGCTTTTGGGCAGCTGAATGGAACCCTAAGGATGGAGCTTTTAAGGGGGCGGGCTGCAACTTTCACCTGTTTTGATGTGCCTTACAATTGCTTCAATTTAGCAACCATTTTAATATTTTAACTTATCCCTGTGTTGGGAAAAAGTAAAACACAAGAGTCACCAGCTGTGTGTTATGACTTTGCAGAGCTGTGAACCTCAATATTTCAAGTCCAAGGTTGCTTCTGCCAATATTGGTTGTTATAGTTTGTGTTTTTTAAATCTCATTTGTCTGGTAATTTAACAAATATTCCCAGTTCTGTTTTTCACTGGTTGAAAATGCCCTCTTCCACCAGCTTTTTGACTATACAGTACCTTGAACTGCCTATTCTACAGATTTAGCAAATCAAAGCCTAGTGATTATTTCAAAACTTCCATTTAACTATGGCGTTCTAACATAGCAATTGGTGGACTGCTAGAGTCATTGGCTAAAGCAAGGCTGGGTTAAACCAGATATTGTTGGACTACATCTCCCTGCCCCTTAGCTGTGGCCTCTCAGGCTGATAGGAGACACAGTGCAAAAATAATTCAGAAGTGTTTGCAGCTACTTTTGTGTGTGTGGTAGAATGGATTTGCTTCTTTTCATTTAGAATATCATTCTGTAGTCTTTGAGAATACAGTGGTGCCTCGCTTAATGACATTAATTCATTCCAGTGAAATCGCTGTAGAACAAAAATGTTGTAAAGCGAAAATAAAAAACCCATTGAAAGGCATTAAAACCTGGTTAATGCATTCCAATGGGCTAAAACCTCACCGTCCAGCGAAGCTCCTCCATACGGTGGCCATTTTCAGTGCCTGTATAGTGAAGAATCCATCCCTAAGCCCAGCGGGGAGCCATTTTGAGCACCCGGTGGCCATTTTGTAAACCCGACAATCAGCTGTTTTGATCGTCGTAATGTGAAGAATTGGTTCCCAAAGTAAAAACAGCTGGTGGGCCAAGAGTTACCCACCCCTGAATTAAAGTTCTAGTGCAAGGGAGTGGAAACGGCTGGGCCCAGACCTTAATTGTTCCCAATTCAGCTTGTGAAAGTTCCGTCTGTGGGCCCTGCCGCTGTGTGCCCCTCCTGTAGTTAAACAGGAGGAAGAATCTCCACTGTTGTCTCTGATCAGTAATCAGAGCCAACAGCAGAGATCTCCTCTTTCCTTTTGTTTCCTCTGTCATTTTTCCAGTTTGTAGAGTAAGTCAAGCCATAGTGCGTCCTTCCCAATAGGAAGTGGCTGGGTGGTGGTGCTGGGGATGGAGGGCTGATGAAGTCCATGCAGGGCCTTGTCCTCTGACATTATCTAGCCTGTGGAGATCTGGGGCGGGGGTGGAAACATCCCACACCAGTACTCCTCATTTCTGAGTCAACTAACCAGTCACTGTTGGATCAATTTTTATCACTGAACTTAAAATTTAACTTTTGAGATGATGGATGTACAGTAACAGAGTTTTTTTGTGTGTGTTTTGACATTAGTTCTCATTCTAAACAACAACTTATATCATATAAGCATGTCCTTGCTAGTGTATGGATAATTCTGATCTTTTAATTCTAAATTTTTAGTTATCTTGATTAAGGTGAACAATTTTAATTGTAAAAAAAGAAACGTGACAAATAAATACATAAAGGGATCTTTTCTTTTCTCTTTCACAGGTGCGTGTTCCAAAGCGGTTTCTATAGTTTTCACTTTTACATCGTATTTCTTGTATAAGCCTCCACCAACCCCACCTACAGTTTCACAGAGCAAAGAGGAAACAGAGATCTCTGCACAACTTTAACACGATGAAGAACAAAATAGGCCAGCGAAACTCACAGAAAAAAACAAAACCTAAGGCTGAAGTGACAGCTATATCAGAGCACATCACAGCAGCTGGAGTTACCGAACGTGAATGATCTCGGACCACTGAAGCAGCTGTTTCAGTTTAAAAAATAAACACAGCTTTTAAGGTATATTTCAGTCATAGAAAACCATTTTTGATTTGGGGAAACACGTTGCACTTTAAAAAGAACAGCATTTGATCAACGGATCAAGCGTTTGGAAACATTTTAATGCCTCAATCCCCTGATTCAGGTACTGTGTTGTTTCTTGTGCAATTCTTTGTGGGAAAACATGTGATTGACAGTTACTTATTGGGCATATACTGCTCCTGGTCTGGCCATCATGGCAACATCATGCTGATGTATCTGTGAAAGCCTCCATTCATAAGCCCATCTGTTGCTTATTTATCTCTTGAGTGTCTGAGGTGTGGCTTCTCAGTGGGCCACAAGGAACAGGAAGTGCTCATTTTAACTTATTTCAAATTCTCATAACAGTTTGTACAAGCCAGGAAGAGGTATGCAACAGAATCTCCTGCTGGTTAACCACAAGTTCAGTGTACACTGCAAATCTATTCCTGACAATTTCTCAAGAGAGACGTGTGGCTTATTGTTTGCCAGGCTTGTCCAATGACAAAAGGGAATGCCTTTGTTCAGACTTCATTAAAATTTCTGTACTTTGAATTGATAGAAATGGTACAATTACAGGATAAAATGTGCTTCTTTGGGTTTCATGTTTAAAAGACATTCTAGAGGGTCACTGATATTTTTGAATCCTGCATTTGGAGTCAATTCATCTGCAAGGAATCTACAAAGTGCCTCATGTTCACTGTGGTGTGATAAGAGGCATTCTTCGAAAAACCCCAACCCACCTATGGTCACCGTAAGACTACCGACTCAAAACTGAAATCTCTTCTGGAGAATATAATAATCTCATTGCAATATTTCAGACCATGGTGCTGCTGTTTTGTCAACCCCCGAAACCATATTAAACTCAGTCCAGGAAATCGATCAACATTTTACCAACTATTTTAACTTGAAAACTGGAAGCAACTCAACAATCCTGCACATTTTACATGTGTAATATAAAAAGTTTGGTGAAAGTGATAATCTCAGATGATATTTGTGAAGTGTCCAAACATTCAGGAGGTACTCTGTGAATGTAGATAGTCACCAGATGTGGCTGATAACATCCTCAATTTCATAAAGTTATATCTGATAAACAGAAATAGGATATAGGTATGTCTTTGTAAACAATCAAACAAAAATCAGCTAAAACTAATTTCTTAGTATTTAAGAAATTAGTATTTAAGAACTGGTGCCAACATTCATCTAGTTCCAGGTATTCCTGTGATATGCACATGCTCACTGCTAGTCCCATCAAATGGTGATGGGTGTGTTTAACATGTTTATTAAAAGTACTGCATACGGGATGTGGAGGTTAACTTATGCCATCTTTCACATCTTCCTCCCCTTTTTTTCTTTTTCTTTAAAGCTCAGAAAGAGCTTCCTTATTTATAAAGAATCTTGTTCTCCACGGGTCAGATATTACTGTTTTGATTTATGGACCAAAGAGGATGGTATGGCACCAGCTTTTCTCAGTACTCCTTACCTGCATATTATCTGGCAAAAGCAGGCAAAGGTAATTTTTTAAGACACCTCTGCAGCAAAAAAAAAAAAAAAAAAAAAAAAAAAAAAAAAAAGGTTGCACCTTCAACTGTACCTTAAAAGGACAATCAGAGCTTGGAAACAATATGTGACATTTAATGGGTTAAAGCTAAAATGGTTCCTTTTGCACTAAATAGGAGGAATGCATCTTATTTAAAAAAACAGTTCTTTGAAACCAACCTTAAATGTTACAACTGTTGATTTCAATATATTGTTACCTGGGTGCTTCAAGTTATTTGTTTTCCTGTTCACAAAAGCAACGATTTTAGCATGTATTCATAATATCTTATTTCCAAACTCTATCTATGATGAAGACAGCTGAACATAGTGCCTAATACTGTGTTGCTTAGCAAAGTACATCACAAGTAGAGAAGGCCCATTGAATCAGTGGAGGTTTGGTGTGCTAACTGCTCCATAAATCCTATTGATTCACTGGGCCTATTCTAGTGGTGACTCCCTATGCTGAGCAACAGGATTTCAGCCACTATATTTTACTGACCAAAGCAATACCTCTATTGTTATGTTGTTCTTATATGCCATCAATTAACCTCCAACTTATGGTGAATGAATGAGAGATCACCAGTGTCCTGTCTTCAATAGCTCTGCTCAGCTCTTGTAAATTCAAGCCTGTGGCTTCCTTTAGGGCAGTGGTGTCCAACCTTGGCCCTCCAGATGTTTTTAGACTACAGCTCCCAGAAGCCTTCACCACCACCTCTGCTGGCCAGGATTGCTGGGAGTTGAAGTCCAAGAATATCTAGAGGGCCAAAGTTGGGGACCACTGCTTTAGGGAGTCATTCCATCTCATATTGGGTCTTCCCCTTTTCCTGCTCCCTTCAGATTTGCCCAGCATTATTGTTTTTTTCCCAGAGCATCTTACATGATGCACCCACAGTATGACAACTTCAGTTCCATTATTTTTGCCTCCAGAGGTAGTTCTTGCTTGATTTGGTCTAGGACCCAGTTGTTTGTCAGGATATTCACAAAGCTCTCCTCCAGCACTATATTTCAAACAAATCACACACACCCCTTGAATCAAATGAAGGTCTGTATGGGTTAAAAGATATTACCTATCTTTTACTTTGAATTGTGTATAAGGACCACAAAGCTTTTTTCCCTTTTTCTTGGACTGTGTTTTACTGTTGTCTCTTTGTCAGCTTTCTAATTTCTACGTTTTTAAATGTTTTATTGCAATATTTTGATTACTTCAAAATAAGCAATGTATAAATGAAGCAACTTCTCATTAGGCACAGTAAAAGCTAATCAACATGGATTACAGAATAAGAAAATATTGTCATTAATAGGCTTTTCTATAAATATGTTGGATTGTTAGTTAAAGATCTTAAACTGTTAATCATTTCAGGAAAAAAAATGGCCAAAATTCTCTGGCTCAGCTATGTGGACATAAGTTAAAGTTACACCTTTAGTAGCTACAAAAGGCCAAGACAGATCTGCTGTCCATGAAGCACTTCAGCTGACACATTGCACAAGCGTGTTGTCAATGGGAATTATGGGATTCTCTGTTGCCAAGCATAAGACTGGGTACATTTATATGGCGACAACTTTATATTATATTTGCACAAACAGGATTTAGTTTAATAACAAGAAAGGAATGGTACAAAAAAAAATCTATTATCATTTCAGCTAAGTTACAGTATTTACAATGACAAGAACTTCATTAAATCAAATGTCTTCCAGACTTAAGCCAGAGCTGAAAAACTGGGTGCCCAAGGCAGCTGGCAGGCATTTCAAGCACATTTGCTTTCTTCTCCACAGTAGCTTTCATGCAGAGCATCTCAAAGTACCTCTGGGGCTCCCTCTTGTGACTTCCAAGGAGAATTTTACTTTTTTATTTTGCCAGAATAAAGAAAAAGGCAGCATGACTTTCATGGATCTTGCATGCATAGTTTTCTTAAATTTCATGCCACCAACAATCCTGTATGCAGTCAAATGTACTTTTTTTTGTAGACATCACAGTATTTACTTCTTGGTATCTTTATATACCTGTAAGGATTTGGGTGCAGGATTCTTGATACCTTTTCCCCAGGTTCATTCCAAAAGACCTCTCTGAAATGCAGAGCTGAATTCAAGTTTTGGACACTAGAAGTTCTAGAACACCCCACTCCCACCGCATCTTCCCTCCTCCCTGAGACCTCCAGCCATTCACACTGCCAAAAACCAGCCCTGGAGGGTTTCCAGATCCTTTAAAGCCAGTTTGTGGAGCACATGGGGAGGGGGGACAAAATTGTTGCTCTCTTGTTTCCTTGAGATCTACTGTTCTGCCAGCGGACATCTCCCCCTCCTCATCCCACTGCTTTAGTGTCAAGAAATACTCTTTTCCTAAGGAGCGTTTTCTAACACAGAAGTAAGTCTGCTCATGCTTTATGGGGTCATTAAGGACTTTCCCATTGTAGCTGCTCATACCTTTTACTAGACTGCTACTCAGACCAAGTTGTTCCACCACTTGTTGCTTCAATGAATGTATTTTTTTTTTTAAAAAAAATCAAATCCATAACTATGCAAATATCCTGAACCACTTACAACCCCATTGTGTATGAATTTCATTGCACAATATTTTCAGTGAAAAAAAAAGAGTATTTATTAAAAAGGATAGCAATAAGATGTAAATAACTTACAAATTTTATTTTGTGGAAATGGATTCTACTTAAATTTCTGAAATGGAATAAAGGTGTATTTCCTTTTTCAGATTTTAATGTGTTTGTATGTTGAGCTGTCTTATTTCTTTCATTTCACTGACTAATGCTGTAGGATTCACTGGCGAGCTTTCGAGATTTGAATTGGGTGTTGCAGTATTAATTCCAGATATCGGATATAAGGAGATCTGTCTAGTGGCTGGCATTGGTAGAAAATGGAACAAAAAGATTTACTGGGTATAAAGAATTCATAAATCAGAAGTGTTTACAGCTACTTTTGTGTGTGTGTGGTAGAATGGATTTGCTTCTCTTCATTTAGAATATCATCCTGTAGTCTTTGAGAATACATCCCAAGGGTCTTAGGCAATTGCAACTCATGAGGCTTCCTACTGGGCTGTATTAACCCATGGCTGGGCCCTTAGGCTTTCAGGCATTTTAGGGACCTTCTGGCAGTTCAGTCTTTCAACCTACTACAGCTGACAGCCTGATCCTGATACAGCAGGGACTAGACTGCAGTATATAACCCTATATCCATTTTAGAGGGTCTCCTGAAGAATTCTATTCACTATTTTTGTAGAGGCCATGATGCACTGCCTGCCTCCAGGCTGAAAGCTCAGATGTCAGGGCTTCCCATCTGTTGAGGTCCATTCCTAAGGCCTTCAGATCCTGCTTGCAGATATCTTTGTATCGCAGCTGTGGTCTCCCTCTGGGGTGATTTCCTTGCACGAATTCTCCATACAGGAGATCATTTGGAATCCGACCATCAGCTATTCTCACGACGTGCCCAAGTCAACATAGACGTTGCTGTTTCAGTAATGTATACATGCTAAAAATTCCAGCTCATTCTAGGACTACTCTATTGGGAACTTTGTCCTGCCAAGTGATACTAAAAATCTGTCGGATTTGATTTGTCTTCAGTGTGGAAGGGATTGTCACTCTCGAATTGGCTTTCTCAGCCACACTAGACGCTGTTCCAAATCCTCCATACAGAGCATGTTACCATAGTCTTTCGAGACTGAAGGATGCCTAACTAATTTTTGTAGAATGCAAAGTGACTTTAGCCCTTGGTGCCCTAGGATGCATCAGCAATATATATATTGCTGATATATATAGGGGTCTCACAAGGACTAGGAGGTCATCAAATAGATAGATAGATATATAGATGACCTCCTATTCCTTGCGGGGCCCTTAGGCTGCAGCCTAGTCAGCCTTATGAATAATATACAGCCTGGACTGCCATTGACCATAAGATCATCTACTCAGAGATTCTTCTTTGAATAGGAACATGGGACCTTGAATCCCTTTCCTTGACCGTGTGAAGATATCTATGGACTTGTCTTCTGAAAGATGGAGCCCAGTGGCATAGGTTTGCCATCCCCACACTAAGGAATTACTCTGCTAGCCACTTGAGTGCCCACTCCTGTATCTGTTCCACAGTGACTGGAGCTGGTGTCAATGCTTAGGGCACACTCTGAAATAGTTGCCAAGTGGTGAAGGGCTTCAGATCCTGTCTATTCCCATCTCAACCCCAGTTTGCTATTTTTTTTTCCTCCTGTAAAAACGCAGGGACATTTGTTCTTCACTTGTGAATGGCTGATCTGAAAGACTGCCATTTAACTCATGGGTTTTGGGGTATCATTTGGTCTTTCTGTTTAAGACCCTAGTCTCAAAAAGCAGAACATCACATGCTTTTATGCTACAGAGCACCAAATGGTACAGTGGTTGTTAAGGAGTGTTAGCCATTCCAAAATTATCCCCGTTTCTCTGTTCAATTCAGCACACCTGGGACAATACTGGTGCCACCTGCACAGTTTTATGGCCACATACATCTTCTGCATATACCCACAAAAGAAGTGACGTGTAAAGCAGTTCATAATGCAGCAAATGAAAATTGTCCTTTCTTGAAATTGAAATGTTTAGCATTGTCTAGCCAGCAGGTGGTGGTGGTGTTTTTTGTAACCGAGTCTCCAGATAACCGACTACAGGCATGAAGTATCTGCCGCACATTCAATACTTGTCCTTGAAAACTAAAATAAAAAAATAAAAAAAATACTGGAGATGGTTCTTCTGGTGGAGGAAATCGCATTTCTTCCCTTGGTGATACAACTGAGACAATGGTTCTCTCTGCAGCTCCAGCTTTGCATGCGATAATTTTCCTGGTCTTTCTCTCCCTTTTGCTCATGACCAAACCCCTACTCTTGGGGAAAGCTATTGTCTTCCACTTTGTGGCTGAACTAGGCTACAGCAAGATGTCAATTAATTAAAATCAATTAACACTTTAAAAAAAAGAGGTATTCCAGACATGCATACTTTTGGAGCCCCCTCAGGTTTCAAGTGTCTGG